TTTCTCAATCAAGTCAAGTATCTCTGAGTTGCACATAACTAGACATCCTCCGACACTTTTAAAATTTTTTCAAAACTTTTCTTTCAAAAATACTTTATTCGATTGATTAAATAAACAGGTTTTAGGGTCACTTAAAAAACCCACTGCTTTGCATTAATTCGTACACAATTTTGCATGGGGGGGACCTTTCAGGCCCCATGGTCCCTTTTTTTGCCCCCCCCCCCCAGCCGTTATTCACTTCCGACGTCGCTGCTGTCAGTTTCCTTAGCGATTGCCGCAACAATTGCTTTCCCAAGTACAAAAATCTCAGATTTATTTCACATCCACTACACCGATTTAATTGACTCATATTAGTTTATATAGTCTTAAAATATAGTTGTAGGACCTAACACACAGTAAAAATGGTCTTTATTAGCTTACCAAATATTATTTGCCTCATATTACGGTACCTAATAATGAACGACCAATTTCGCTTTCGCTCCATAAAAAATGCGCGTGTAAAAGTCGATCATCCGTAATTGCGACCCTGATTTAATCATCAGATAGGTCAAACGTAATCAACTGTCCAATACCAGACACGTTTGCCGTCTTGGGGTAATTATGCTATTTTCCTCTTATTTCAATTTGAATAGCTAGTTCCAATAAGTCTACGTATCAAATTACTCCCGTCCAAAGTCAAACCAATTAGAGCTCTCTTCATTATTGTCATCAGAATTACAGAAACGTAATTCCACGTGACAAATTGACAATTCCCACTAAAGGCTCGTAATGCGATCCGTCTGTGCTCCTTTTTAGCCTGAGTTGTTTGAAATTTATTTTTATACAGCACCATTAATGTCCAATTAGTTTGCTCCACATATTATTCAAGTTTTAATTAGGGGTAGTTGTTTTTGCATGTAGTGCGAGCTTAGAATTAAGTGTTTCATGTTTTCTACTACATTTTAATATTATTCCGGTCGCTTTATTCAAACTCACGTTGTAGAATTAATTTGTTCATATCTTTTTTGCCTCTTCCCCGTTAAATACTTTATTATAGGAACCTGGGCAACAGCGATTAGCCAGACTTGGTTTCATTGTTTTTGTGTGTCCGTCCGTCCGTCCGGCCATAATTCCAGAACAAAATCGCATTTTCGAAATCTGCTAAGCTAAGAGGAAACCTCAACCCATTTCGTTAATCAGCCAAATCGGTTAACGTGGGAGGAGATGTTACGCCTCCTCTCACGATCTGTTTTGAAGCAACGTAAAGTTTATTGTTCAAACGAGCCACTGTAGAACAAATACAAGTTTTAACACAAAAACTGGGAGAATTTTTTAAAACATGTAAGTGACATACGCTGTCGTCTTCATACTCGATAAACGGGGAACGACGTATACGATTTGGTGCAAAGGTCTAGGAAGGACTCTAAGTTATTCAGATCATATAGAAAAAACATAGAGAAAACGTAGCGCCTTATCAAATGTAACACCCAGATTCTTATGGGAGAATGTTGGATATTGCATAATTGAAATAGCTACCTTCTCCAACATGTCATAGATTTACATTTAGAAATATTCGGATACAATTTGTTTTATTGACTTGGTTCTAATGTATTTTTTATCTGCCTGTAGCGTGGCACAATCGTCGTTGCTGGAAATTTCGGTGAAAAGTCATCAGCATAATGTAATTGCGAAGCGCGAAGATAGCACATTGATAAAAATCAAAAAAGAAAAGTACCTAAGGTGGAGCCTTGTGAAGTACCAGAGATAGAAGTGAAATCTTTTGAATCATGGCTATTATAGGACGCAAAATGCGATCTGCCCACAAGATAGAATTTGATCAAACCTGCTAATAACAATATATTCATTGTGCTAGTACATTAAAAGTAATGTTTACACGCGTCATAGAAGCAGTACAATACATACAAATATAAAATATAAAACGTAAACTTCAAAAAATATCAAAAGTTATAATTTAACGTCAATGTTAAGAAAATCTTTAATATTGTATAAGGGGTTTTCAGTTAAAAAAGCCTTTATTTTGTTTTTGAAAGTTATTTACATTTACTTATCGAACCTGTTATAAAACAGAGGCCCCCAGGTAGTTATGTGCAGCTTGCGATTTTTTAAGTTTTGCGCATACAATATTATTATTACTGTTACGAGTGTTGTACCTGTGGATGTCTGAATGGGCTACATGATTTAGTTTATATTGATGGCCATACACCAAACCTCGCACCAAACATTCTAGTATACGTACTGTCTTCGACTTCGACTACGACAGTCTTCTCTGTATTCAGCACTAGCTACACTTCGGACACACCTTCTTTGCATCGCAAATATTCTTTTCATTGCATCAGAGGAGTGGCGCCACGCTATGATTCCATAACAGATTAGGTATTGAGATAGACATAATTGTAATAGATACATTTTAAAATCGGTTTTTGACACCATGTTAGATACATTTTTAGCGCATTTTTGCAAAATTTTTTTTGGTAAAAAGTAGCTTTTAATCTCACTTTGGCTGGCTGGCTGGCTGGCTGGCAGTAAATGCGCGCCCGTAGAAAAACGCTTGTAAAAAGACAAGGAGTGTACATGTAACTATCGGGGCCGTGTAATTAAGAACGTTAGGGATGGGGCTACAAGATTTGGAGTCGACGACATCTGGACGCCATCCCCGAGCGTATTATACTAACCTGGAGATTTTTCAGTTTTTATCTATCTTCTTCTACAGTTTTTCTCCGATTGTTTTCAAATTGGTGTCGTCGGGAAGATCTTGCCAACGCGCACAACTCCTGCGTGGCGGAATTTTGTTTTTTTTTCCTAGGGGCGAAATAAACCACCTTTTGCGCGGCGCGCTTCGAGGGGTAGTCGACTTTGGGCGCCCAAAAGTTTCTTACAGCGCGAATCGCGGTCTCTCTTTCTCGTGTCACTAATAGAAGGTCGAGCTATGTGAAGTACCCAAAAGTTGAATACGATTTTATGCCGGGATTTTAGCGAAATCTACCAAAATGTGAATTACGAATGAACGGGACGTCGGAACTGTGTATCGACAAAGGGAATGTGGTAACCCCCGACGAGATCTTACTGATGGTGGAGTCGAAACTTCAAATCCGATTTGTTGCGGGTGATCAGAAGTGGGTGTCGACAAAGGGAATTTGGTAACCCCCAAAGGATTTTACTGATGGTGGAGTCAAAACTTCAAACGCGAATTGCGAGTGCACGGTAAGTGAGAAAATGGTACCGACAAAGTGAACGTGGTAGCTTTCGGCAAGATCTTATTGATGGTGGAGTCAATATTGGCTAATAAAACACTGATCTGCCACACAAAAATGCGCTGAAGTCCCTTCGATCTCACACGAGGACTTTGATCATTTTTTAACAGATACGCGACTGGAGCCAGTTTTGCACTAATTCTTGTCTTCGTATTGGTCCCATGTCAGTTTTGAATCTATAAGGACGCCTAGGAAATTAATGGATATTAATTCTTTTGACATTGATGAAGAGAACTGAATTTTTTCCTATTATTTAAAACTAGCTTATTAGCACTAATACATCTAATAAAGCATTACTTATTTTTTCTTCATTATGGACGGGATCGGAAGAAATACTAGTTAACGTTATGTCGTCAGCATACAGTGTGAATGTGGCACCTGAACTAGAGAAACAAATGTCATTAATAAAAATTTAAAATAAAAGAGGTCCAATTATGGAACCCTGCGGAACGCCTAATGTTACAGCTCGACATTGAGATCTTTTATTATTGTACTGTACAAATTGACTACGGTTACTTAACTAAGTTGAATTAAGTTTATGGTACCTACTTTGCTGCGTGAAATGATAGAAATTTAACTTTTTTATCAGTAACTTGTGAGATCAAAAGTCAAAGGCTTTAGTTTCATACACTATGGTTTCATCTAAAAATATAGACGTACATCTTCTACGTGCCTCTATACTGTCAATACACTGAAATCGTACTCTGATAATGATGTATTAGGAGGATGTGATCTAGTTGATCAAAGGCTTTTTGGAAATTAGTGTAGATCTAGAAGGCATCAATCTATGCTCTTTTTTGTCCAAGACATTAGCAACATATTGTGCAAAAGTTTTGATAAGTCCTTTGTGCCATTAGTAGAGGCTCAAGATGAGTTATCAAATTGGCTTTACAGCACCCAGTTGCTTTGTGGATTTGTAACGTGATATTTGGGTTTTCTGTACGTAAAGTAACTTTCACTGTTCATTTTTGACCTACATATTCAAAGCAGAGGTCTAGGTTATTGTTAATTTGAACTGAATGAAACTCAAAGTAACATGCCATTTAAACTACTCGTGTAATTTGTTGCAGATGGACGCGGTGCAGGTATAATAAAACTTATTGTATATTAAATCTTATCGTGTATTTCCGTGCTGAGGTACAAATTTCAATACATTTTTGTTAATTTCAGAAGATGTACAAGATAGGATTCATTATAAAATTAGTTGTTGATATAAGTAAATGAAAGGAATTGTCGTCGTAGATATAAAAATTTGTTGGAATTTGTTAATTTAATGTCCAATGATGTACCTCGGTAACATTATTTTATTTAAATAATTATCCAAAGTAATACTCTAGCTAACATTAGTTTGAACAAATTATCTATTCAAGGCAAAAGTTTACTGAAAGATTGTTGCAATAGTATGTGTGCAACTTTCTAAAATATATTTTGTTAATTATTATAATTAATACTTATACAATTCTTTATAATTGGTTTAAGTATTTTACTTATGCTTGTTTTAGGTAATCGAATGAAGTGCAGAATTCTTCGTTTAACGAACGAGTCTAAAACTGTATAACGTTTTATATATGATCTACAAGTATTACACAGACACACATATTAAAAAATTAAATTTAAGTATAATTAATAACAGTCTCTATTTCAGTTCTGGTCATACAGTAATATTTAAAAGAAATTGCGTTAACATCTCCAAGTCTGCACTACATTTCAACTACCTATCGATATTAATACTGAATTGTATATACTATATTTGGCCAATCTCAAATGAAGTAACAATAATAAAAATATGCAAGTCTTTGAGTATCTCCCAGTATTATAATAGTCTATACAAAACGTAATTTTATAAAATTGTTTCATACTTACTTTCGCCATAAAAATTTTATTTTAATACAACTACATCAGAAGTTTGTGTTTAAAATCTGTAAGGGACTATGTACTTCAAGAAGTTGGAAAAACTACACCACCCTGTATAAGCGCTGATTATTATATGTAGGAATTTCACAAAATATAAGCATAAAAAAAACTAAACTACCAATACTGAGCAAGAATTCTACATCAGTACATTATTTAACGATTTAAAAAATTATCCTGATATCTTATGTTATTATTTAAAATTCTGATACATAACTATAATGGTCAGTAATGTATAAAATGTGCGTATGAATGAGTAACGTCGTATATACATACTTGGTATTGGTATCGGAATAAAATTTGCGCATGAATGAGTAACTGTCATTTATACGGTGGTGTTGGAATGAAGTAGATCTAAGTAAGTATACTGTAAACAGTAAAATCGTTGTGCAACTGTGACTACATCGTTGTAAAATAAGCAATTATTGCAGAGTTTGATTGCAAAATGACAGTTATTCATTTAAAGCTACTTCTTATTATTTAAATTTTGATCTGTAGCTGTGTACTATGTTAACATGAAACAGTATGGTTCGTCCCAATTAAAACAACCAAATTGTGTAGTAAATGCACCTACTTAATAAAAGTAAAGTTAAAATCATAGGGTTTTCAATCTACGGTATCAGATATTGGAAACCAGTAAACATCAGATACCCATAACATCACAATAAGTATTTTTTTAATTTTATTAACTACTGCTTATGATTCCTCTGCTTCCTCTCGGAATAGGTATGTAGACCAATATATTACATTAAATAACGCAAAAACCAAGGGAAACGTTATCCTTGAAATTACGTCGATACGTTTAGATCTTGTGGGAAATTTGGACAACCATGAACGGCAACAGTTAGGTCTCGCGGGCTGCATGTGAATTTCACATTGACGTACCTTTTCCATACTCAGCGGATCACCTGGATGGCGTACCAATGGCTTCTGAAAATAGATTTTTAGGATAACGGTTCTTCAACTCTTAGAATTCTATTGTTGGAAATATACAACCCCCACGTTTATACAATAGTATACAACACCTTGTACTGACCAAAATGTTGATGAAATTTAAATTTTCCAGCATTTGCGTGATATTCCAATTGTTCCTCATAAGTCATAATATCTATTATACCTTGTGTAGCACCTGTACTAATTTGTAGGTATAACCGACGCAAAGTGTTTAGAATAAAAACCCAATATGATTTTCTACTACCTATACCTATGTCTATAAAGTCCACCTGTATACTAAAGTGTAAGCAAGAAAGCTTTTGTTAACGATGTAAGAATTTCAAAAAATTGTGCATTTACGCGTTAAATGCAAGAAGCAATTATCAAAATTTTTGCCATAACGTCAGAGCTGAGTTATGTCTCCGTAATACCTGTATGAACGCACATCGTAAACAAGTATTTTACCGATATGGTTGATAGAAAAGAGAGCACAAGCTAACCAGGTGACAATAATTGAAAAAATAATCGGTTATAATCAAGAGGGTTTCAGTTCTGGTTTTGAAATGGCAGTTTTGTAAGTGTATCGAAAAAATTTCAAAAAAAAATAGAAAAAAATTATGAGCCAACATGTATTTGCCGTTTAACTGGTGAAATTAGTGAATGCATAAAGATTTTGATCAACAGAGGCCACAGGTTCCTGAGGACAAAGATCTTAAAAACGATATGTATAATTCTTAGTTGGCAAAATTGATTGAGATTTGGTGCCGTGAAGCGCATTTATAGTATACTAAGGAAATGTTTGACTGGAATTTGTGCAACACTTGCGGCTTGTTCGTCAACATGTGAAATGAGCTTTAGAAGGTAGTACCTAAAGCTGCAGAAGATACACAATGACACCATTCATTACCAAGAAGTAATCAACATTTTAACTAAAGAAACTAAGAAATTCATTTGCCAATTGAATTTTTTCTTATTAGTTTTTTTTATGTTATTTAAAAAACAAGGTAAAGAAAGTGCGGACCTGGTTGAGTTCCGATGGTTATGGGGTGGTGAAATTTACCCTCTTTTTGTCTTTTTATCCGTAAACATCTGGGAGTAAGGAAAATGAATTGATGTAGTAAAATTAAGACTCAACTCTAATTCCCTGTAGATGCAATGAATTCATTATTCACACAAAGATTCAGTTTCGTGAATTTAAATGTCTACCAAAAGTTCCATTTCATTTTTAGGGCCGTATTTAATCTTTTGGGTAAGGCTTATTACAAGCAAAATTGCATTAGTTTGAATGAATTTAATGAGCCGAAGGCCTATATTTTCTCCATTAATTGTATTCCCAAAAAGGCGTCAAGCCGTTTACAATTCAGTCTGATTGGAAGTCATGTCTAGACTTGATGCATAGTATAACCTGAGCACGCTGTGTAAAGTTATTTCCAATGCAGTGTGCGGCCTACCTATATAGTAACCGTGCCATAGAAGGAATGTAGTGTACGGTCAATAGATATTAAAAAATAAAAAATAGATTACATCCCAAATCTGTAAAGTTAGAATACGCTGACCACTCACCTAAATGTATGTTGAACCGTGCTGCACTTCACATTGTATACCTAAACTGCAAACTGAACGCCTGAACCACTGCAACATTTTGTGGTCAATTTATATTAGAGTTTGTAATTAAGTTAACATTGTGGCAGAGGCAGGTAATTACAATTCTATAGTCACCGAGTACATCATTAACGAAAGTGGTTATTATGATGTTGATGTGTCACATCAATAAATTATCCGAATAATTAACTTTAATCAATCTACAATAATTTAATAACACTACAACGACTGCAAAAGGTAGATCGCACAGTATATTCCATCCCTGCATGGTTACTATAAGGAGACCGCACACTACATCGGTATTTTCAATAGACAGGTTCCGTACTTTCTGTTTTACTTATGATTCGGAAGACTTAATTACATACTAACACTAAACGAGTTGTAAATCAGCATAATATGCATGATGAAAGTGCATTTTTCGGAACTTCTATTGCAAGCCGAAATTCCACATATAGAAGCGTCTGTTCCTTCACAAAATGAAAAGGAAGATCACTCAATGTGTGATAAACAGGGATGCAGCGTGTCAGACAAAAATATTTCACTTTAGGAGTAAGGGAACCCAGGTTGCCAACAAAAAAAAGAAACAAGATGCAACTACATCACCAATTCAATTTGCCTTACCTAAAGTGACAAAACCAATGAGCCAACTACTATTCTCTTAAGCAAGAAATACTGAGTCAACTCCAGTAGAAATTTCCGATTCTGAGGTTTACCAGCCCTCAAAGACTAGGAGTAGCGGCACAAACCACGCCGCGAGGAAGAATTTTTACTATTCTGAGCCGTAAAATAATGACATCAATTTGTTGAGACCTCTCTATTACTACAGAAAAATGTAAAGGCAACGCGTTTGATAATCAGCACTGTTAGTAACATTAAAATGGTATGGACTCAATTGAAAGCGTACCTAATTGGCTCTTTGGAGAAATTATACCTATAATTAATTTAATTCGCAAAGAAACATATGTATGATGATCCTGCTGGATTAAATCCTAAAAACTCGGAGTCTTATAAAGTACAAAAGTAAATACAACATGCGTAAAAGGAACAGCCCCGTGGTTATAATGACCTCTCCTTGCAGGCAGCATAAAATTGACTACGGAAGTATTAGACATTTATTAGAATAAAACTAAAACTAATACAAGATACAGGATGGTCACCGGGGGGCTGTTTGCATTATGTTGTACGTGAGACCACTGTAAATACTTTCCTAAAATTTATACATAAAGGGAAAATAAAGGCTGTTTATGGGCGGTTTTTTAGAAGGTGTAGCAACTTCGGCTTCGATTCGATCATAAAAATCCAACGCAAATTTAAAACTAAATTGCTATCCCATTTTTGTAATTGTTCAGGTATTTATTAGTTCAATATTATGCATTGTTAGAGTTCACCTGTTTGTTTCTAACGCCAAGGTTCACAATTATAATACAAGACGTGCTAAGTTTATTAGAACCCCAGTTTCAAAATCTAGTATTTTTAACAATTCTTTCATTGTAACAGCTATAAAAATATACAATAGCCTACCAAATACCTTAAAGGCAAGTAACAATTCTGGTTTAAAAAAAAATTTGAATGCATACTTCAGGGAATTTGTTTTTTATTCTATATGTGAATTTTTGGATTCTTTTAAATAACTACCTATACATATTTTAAATTGTTTGTATGTGTATTGTAATATTTAAAAATTTTTTTTGTGTGCACATCTGTATTGTAATAATTGTTGTTTATTGTGCAAGATTATTCAACACCTTACGGTAAATATGAATAAAGTTTATCTAGTGATCTATCTAGTTGATGTGATTTTTATTATCATCAAAGAAACAATACTTCATTTCATGTATCATCTTACCTACTCATATAGGTAGGTATTGTATAGGTACATCATATTAAATAGAGAAATCTTTAACCCTCCCAGGTCCTCCAGAATTCACTGTCAGTCCCTGTTGGTATTTAGATAGACGGAGTGTCCGTCCAAAAAATGGATTGTTATTTTACATTTTCAGGTTCAAATTCGGCTGAACCTATCATGTAAAAATGTATGTAATCCATAGGAGCGATACTGGCAATAAAAGCTTTTAAACTGCGAGTAACTAATATAATACTAAAATATAATTACTAAAATTAGTCAACCATTTTTTACTCCAGAAAGAGCTTTTGATATAAATGCCTTTGTGCGGAATAGTTCATGTATTAAACTTGTAAAGTTCCTTTCATCGGGTTCACAGAGGAAAATGCAAAGTGCAAAATCCCAACGTTCACAAGTGGTGTACCCGGATACTGTTGCATCACAATCGTGAATCTCCCCTGTGCAATAGGTACTTAATTTAATCTTATTGCCCGATATTGAAATAGAATTATCAAAGCAGGTTGTGGGTACATACCATAGCAAAGGTAGCATTGCTATCGCTGTCCATGAGATCCGAAGTGGCATCCATGGACGCGGCATGTTCCAGTTCACATTGTCGCCTTTGTTTTTTCATGTTTTCTCGATGCATGTCTGATCGAGACGCGTAGTTTACCAACGCGAATTCTAGCAGGGCACCAAATACGAAGGTCAGACACACTCCAGTCCAAACGTCGATTGCTTTGGTGTATGAAACAGGGGGAAGTGAAGCATTTATTCCTGACGTCTGTGTTGCCATCGTGAGCAAAGTCGTTACCCCTACATGTAGAAAGTGTTTTAATCGAACAGGTTTCAAACATAATGAACGTACCTAAGGAAACGCGAGCTGGAACAGCTCCTTGGTCAAGCCAAAAAGAAACCCATGAAACTATAACTAACATACAACATGGAATATAAATTTGAATGAGGTAATAACTAAATTCGCGCTTAAATAGTAAATCAACCTTGAGACAGCTATACTCCCCTAAAAAGAGAATGAGACAAAAATCTTAGCAAACGGTTGTGGCATTGAAAATGTGCATACCGGTGTTAGTCTTACTATTGCAGTAATCCGTGAGGAACTTTTCGAGAGTGAACCTCGGTAAATGCAAATTTTTTACAACCTGAACAGGATCTACTTCCTTCCATAAGAATACTAAGTCGGCAGTTGTCCAACCATCTAAAATGCGAATGTGTAAAACAATGTATTTAGGAGATCTGGACATCGCCATATTCAGAAAGTACTAAGTAAAATCCTTAGCTTTGTGAAGTACCTACTTCCACAAAATATCAACACTTACATGCTAGCCGGCCCTTATGTTACATACAGTTAAGTGCCTTTTCTGTTTTTATAGCTTCCTCGTGCCTTTGCATGATTCCAACAGTGGTCTAAAAAAGAATCGGGCGTTATTTACTCGAGCGAAAACATGTTTGGCACTTTAAATAAGGTCACCACGTTTTGTAAGGATCCTATGGTAAATGTCGATATTAAAAAGAAGAAACGTAATTTCCCATTAAACCTCCCCTGTCGTTAAGCCCGGATCGTAAAAATAAGTTCAATAAAACATGCTTATTTACCTTTGGAAGTACAGTCGTTATTTTTGAAACTAAAATCCGAGCTCTAAGTTAGACATTTTTTTAAGTAGATAACTACATGCACTATTATAGACATGGATCGCTAACTCAAACTATTCGCTAAGGTTCTAATGTTTAATTACTTCAGTACTTTTTAATGTGTTATGTCCAGTTCTTAGTATAGGTATGATAATTCGCTTTTATTGTAGCCGCTGTACTTACAGCTAGCCATTCTCAAGGAACAAATCTGGCGATCTAGCGGATAAAGTTTCAGATTCATAGGGCATGAGAGCGTAAGTGATATTCTGAAAAATGAACGTTCGTAGCAAGTTTGATGAAGAATGGCGAATATGAAAATACCTTATACTATACAGCACCGACCCATCTGGATATATACGGATGTAGACATTCGGCATGATAATATCGTGAAAATGTCCCTCCTTTTCGTTAGAGAAAAACAGGTCGGGCATCCAAACACGGTTGGCTTGAGTGAGTGTGAGGTACTTGAGGCGTTCTCCGTAATCGTTGAATTTTAACCGTTCGTCCAGCCACTGCTCACGGAAAGTAAGTTGAACGCTGTACTCCTGGAATAGCCAAGGCAATGAAGGGACGGTCGGCGATCTCGAAAACAACCATGCAAGTGGCACATGCAAGCTAGGCAAGCAGCACAAACACACATGCAGCTCACACCGCGTGTTTTCTGCAGGGCTGCAGCGCCACACTGCATGCTCGCGCTGGTGCTGGTGCCCTCATTGCAACATCGCCACTCGGCCTTGTGCAAGTGAACGCAACCGAGTAAGTATTAAGTATACACATCCATCCAATACTTGACATGACTGGCAGACCGCCCACTCACCATTTTATAATCGTCTATTTTGCTGATAGATCGCAGAAAGAAGTTGATGTATACAAGGGTCGGGCCGTCTCCTACATTGTGTGAACAAAACAAACAGTATTACTCAGTTAGCAGATACAGTCTCGGCTGCGGGGCACGGCGCCAATCACATCTCGCATTGGCCACTTCCGCATGCAAGCACGCGGCTGTCGGTGCGCCGCCCCACTAGACACCGAAAGCACACGCACGCCGTCCCGCCCCACAGGAGATGAGAGATGAGCTATACTACCAGATAAAGTACCAATCAACACTACACACACACTAGTCAAACCATCATTCTCCTCTGCCAACAGCCACTTACCATAGTGACATCATCTATCTTTGAGATACTTCTGATAAATATGTTGACATGGACAACAGCGGGACCATCTGACAGGTGAAAAGAAAATGGCATCAATTAGTGGACATCGTCACCGGCGATGCGGATGCAATGAAGCACCGGCACCAGTGCCACTGGCGGTGAGCAGCGACTACCTAGTGCCCACTCAGGAAAGGCATTCAGCAATCAAACGCTATCAACCTACGAAGCTAAACTGGTGTCGGCGAGCAACGGAGAAATGTCGCCCCGCTACTCGCCGCCGCCCCATGCTGGCTCGTGTAGCACCTCTACCCTACCCTACTGCATGGTGTGGCCATCGGTCCACTTACCATCTTGATGTCACTAATTGTTGCAATGCTGCGGACAAACAGGTTTACTCGGACAATGGCTGGCCCATCTGGAGTGATGGACAATATGTTACATTGAATCTTATGTACACCAAGCAACGACAAAAAGACAGAACCCTCCTCTCTGGCCATCTGACCTAGACAAGACACAAAACAACTCACCAAAATTTAACTCACCTGTACCGTTTACACCTGAGGGACGGATCCTTGCATCGTATCGACCAGGTCCCAAAATTTGGTCCAGAATTTCCTTCTCCTTTTCGCGAAAATTCAGTTTGGGATTGCTACACCTATTTGAGAAATCGATTGATGCATTAAAGACAGTTGATAGTTTCGGCATACTCACAGAACCACGTGTATCACATGGGCGATTATTATAAATAGGGTACGGTTGTTCATTGTGAGTGTAATCCTGCACACTTTACAGCCTTAACTATACTCTTGAGCCATTCCCCACACCATCTCATTTATTCGTATGAAACACCTTTCTCATCACATTCGTAAAAGCTTCGGAGGCATTAGAGATCTGATCACTTGGACAGCTCACAGACGAATACCGCGACAAGGGACGCTGTATTGATCGTTACAACTTGAATCTCGCGCAACTATCGCGCCTCTTTGCACGCGTGCACACAAACCAAGCGCATACGTTTCGGACCCGGGAAGAACGTCACCAACTACATTAGCTCTTATAACCTTTCGCCGTAAATTTAGCTGCTTCATTTAAAAGGTTCGCTTTCGCATTAAAAATTACCATTTCCTCTTTTAGTAAAAGCCGCAATATTAGCAAAAAAGGCTCGCTGTTCATCTATCGATCCAAGCAAAACCATTGGAACTCTAAAAATAGAAACGCGAGAACACAAAAGGCATCGCGAAGGGTGTCAATATGCACTGCACTTACGTCACGATTACGTCACTACATTTATATATCATTACGATTTATCGAAACTTGTTTTAAGGGCACCCCCCCATTTAGAGCCGGTCCCTATATTTCTGTTCATTACATTCTTAAATTAACGATATCATTGCTGTGTGGTTTGATGATCGTTTTGTTTTTTTGTTCGTTTAATGAAACACTCTGTATATAACAGTTCTTGCACGTCAATAATTTCTTTCCAATTTCGAAATCCGAAACGGCTTACTTGGGCCGTTACCAGTGCATTGATTAAATTTAGCTGATTGTTTATGAAATAGATTAATGGTCATTGCTCACCCCCATTTAATGATTGCATTTAGTATTTGTGTTAATTAATATCGGGTCGCATTCTAAATAAAGCGCATTTGTAGATACAACGCAATTATTATGCCGAACAGTAGCTGTTTGGATATTTTCGAAATTGCAAGTAGATATGCGAGGAGAACAGTTTTATGTATGTAGACAGTAGACCCGTGCGTGTTTTCCTATATCCATTTACATTAGTTCTCGTTTTTCGCAAATCTAAAAGTTCCCGATTACCTACCTAAAATAAGGTAAGTAGGTATCTTAATTATTGATAATCAATATCACCTCTTTTAAGTATCTGTCTATCTATCCGCCTTGGGTGTCCCTACGCTTCTTAAACTTGCCGTCTTTCATTTCATTGGCAATTTCATTCTCAGTGGGCAACTAACTGAAGTTATAATTACTTGATTGAAGAACGGCAGTTGCTGTTTATTTCCGAAAGTCTTCAAAAGAACGCATACCTACATTGAAGGTGAAGCAGCCTGGCGAGAATCCACTAAAGCTCAACTACATATTAAACCCTTTGTAATTATTACGTTTATTTACCGCTTCGAATTATATATCAAAATCAAGGGTGAAGCATGTGGCGAATCCATTGATATTGACGCCTACTGCAGACGCGTATTCAGAGGGGGGGGGGGGCTGAAGGGGCTGCAGCCCCCCCCCCCCCGAAAAGTTGCCAATCATCTTAAGAGAGAGAGAGAGAGAACGTTTATTGAACCACTTTTGTGGTATAACATTGAAACAATTACAACTTCATATAAATGTATAAAGATAAAATGTAAATAGACTATAATATAGATCAAACAAACAACAACATAACAATATTAAATGTAAAGATAAAATTTAAATAGACTATGATATAAATTAAACAAACAACAACATAACAATATTAAATGTATATAAAAATTTCGATAAAAAAGTACAGTTAATAAATTGCGATATTTGTGAAGAAGTCTTCCAGTGAATATGGTGCCATTGTGTTAAGTATTTTCCGAATTTTATTTTTAAATGGGACGAACGCCGATATAGATTTGATATTTCTAGGGAGAGCATTGTAAAATCGTAGACCCATTTGTAATAATAATAATAATAATAACAATAATTTTTATTTCATGTGCAGGCAGTACAAAAAGAGCTTACAATCGTCATATGGAAAATGAACACAACATATTTATATACATTTATAAAGATATAGCGGAATTTAGATACTCATCTACACTGTAAAACGCCCACTTTACTAAATACCGTTTGATTATTTTTCGAAACTGATGAGGTTTTAATGTTTTTATAGACTGAGGTAAGTGATTATAACATTTTAAAGCTACGACGTTAGTACTATTTTGCGATTTGGTCAATCTACAGAAAGGTATTCTGTACGATAGCTTGTCCCTAGTGTTATGGTCGTGAACATCACTTTTTAATATATTATTTATTGAATTGGACCTTATAAAACAAACACATTCTAGAATGTACAAACAAGGCAAAGTAAGTACCCCTAATTTAGAAAAAATGTGACGACATTCGTCGCGGTACCCAATATTAGCAACAACTCGAATAGCTCGCCGCTGCAACTTGAAAGCATGTTTAGATTGGGGACAATTACCTCACGCCAGTATTCCATAAGCTAGAACGCTTTGACATAACGCATGGTATGCATTTAAGATGACTTTTTGAGATACATTATTTACCAACCTACGCAACACAAAGAGATTTTTGTTAAGTTTCGTAGCAACGTTGCTAATGTGGACGTTAAAAGATAGTTTACTGTCCAAGTACACGCCTAGAAATTTAATAGATTTTTGGCTTACATTGCTTTCAAAGTTCTTTATATTTAACATAAGGTTCTCTGTTTTACGTTTTAGTTACATTTAGCGATAGTTCGTTTTGACTGCACCACCCATTTAACAATTTTATGTTGGCCTCCGAAACACGTAACACATTATTTACATTAGCACCACCTGCTAACAGAGTAGCATCATCTGCATATAGGACACAGTCAGTATCTTTTAACAGAGAAATTGACAAATCATTGATGTAAATAAGGAAAAGAAAAGGTCCCAAGACACTTCCTTGTGGTACTCCTCTAACTACCGGTAATTTTTTTGATATTACGTTTCTTATACGCACACATTGATATCTATTACTAAGATAGGACTCTATCAATGCAAAACTTGTTTTGTCAAAATTATACGCAGCAAGTTTGTTAATCAGGATAGTGTGTGAAACACAATCAAAGGCCCGTGACAAATCAATAAATGTAGCATTTAGATAGTCACCTCTTTCGAAACTATTTAGGGTTTTGTTAATTAGATACATTATAGCACTTGATGTACTTCTCCCTACTCTGAAACCAAACTGGTTGGAATACAGTAAGTTATTCAATTCAAAGTACCGAGCGATTCTCACTTTAATCAGTTTTTCGAATACCTTAGCAAATGTTGGAAGAATTGATATGGGACGGTAGTTTTTCATGTCATTCACATTACCTTTTTTATATAAGGGAATTACAACTGCAATCTTCAAATCATCCGGAAAAATACCATTTTTAAACGAATCGTTAATCAATTTCACCAGAGGTGGCACATACAAACTAATGTTATGCTTTATCATGTTTACGCTTATACCAAAAACATCCCTAGTATTACTGTTTTTTAAAGAGAATAATGTGTCACGAACTTCAATAGGTGAAGTTTGGTAACAAGTAAAGTTACTTGTCCTAACATTAGGGTGATTCACTCGATTACAAGTAGCAACACCTTGCTGGCTATTGTTAATGGTACTGTTAGCTATATTTACGAAAAAGTTATTAAATTCGTCAGGGGTTATGTTTGAGGTAGATTGTTCTTTGACAAGTCTATGCGAGTTTATAATAGTCCACATGGTACCAACTGGGTTCGACGATTTACGTAGATGTGATGTGTTATACACTTTACTTTTGGAGGCGGTTATTGCAAAATTATTTTTTGATCTTGTATTATATTTGTGGTAATCGGAATTAAAGGAGAATAATGCCTTATTTTTAAAAACATAACACAAAGATTCAATAATATACAAACTATACAGAGTAGGAATGCGGAACTGTTGAAAGTACGGCTTACAGGTTTCCATTCGCTGTAGCGAGAATATTGTCCGAAGCGCCCGTTTTTGAGTTTTGAAAATGTCGCTAATTAAATTTTTATTGGTATTTCCCCACAGTAGGATTCCGTATCTCATTTTCGCTTCAAAAAGAGCATAGTACACTTTGATTAGCGTATCTTTATTGCAGAACTGTCTACAGCGTGAGAGCGCAAAAATTGATTGGTGTAATTTTGATTGTAGTTGTTCAATGTGTTCCTTCCAGTTGAGATTTCGGTCTAATATAACTCCGAGAAAGTTACAGGAATTACTTGTTTCGATTATTGTCGATTCGTAGGTTATGTTTGAAATAACAGAAGTTGAATTTTTCTTATAGACAAGTACTTTAGTTTTCTCAACGTTAATTAAAAGTTTATTTGCATTAAACCAGTTGATTAGTTGTGCCAAAGATTTGTTTAAGGTGAATTTTAAGTCGTTTTGACTGCAGGCAATAGTTACACTAGTATCATCTGCATAAGTACAAATGTGAGTAATGTGACACGTATCTATTAAATTATTTGGCAAATCATTCATATATATGATAAATAAAATAGGACCGAGTATGGAGCCTTGTGGCACACCATAATTATTAATTAATATTTTCTGCCAATAAGGAAAGGATATGTAAGAACGGGAAAAAAAGAGTGGGTATTTAAAAAGACATGTTTTAACAGTTTGGGTTACGCTTACCTACCTAATTTTCCGAGAAAAATATAGGAATGCACAAAACGGGCTAATGTCAGGTACCTAAGCTTAATGAACTGTTTTTAGGGTTTTTACTCGCTAGTGTATTATGTTTCCATTTCCATAACAAGCAATTAGCGCACTGCGCAATTGCACTGCACTGTTGTACTGCGGTTTCACATTTCACGCCTTCGCAATCCATAGAGATATTGTGATTACCGATGACATGGTAATTGATAAATTCGTAGAATGTAAAAAAAATAGGAAATTAAATTTCGTCTTGTAAAAATTGTTTTATGTATTTAAAAGTTCAAGCCCCCCCCCCGAACAAAATTTCTGGAACGCCACTGGCCTACTGTAAAGCGAAGCCAAATATTTAACAGTTATCCGTCGAATGCGGAAATTCACGGAATTCCCACGATAAAACATGGAAACGTATCGTTAGCCAAATGCTCCTTTGGAGTTTCCAATGAAATTAATATAATAGCGACGCATATGTCGTCGCTTAGGGTTGCAAAAGTTGACCCATCCGCCTTCGGGTATTGCGTGTAAATTCGTGCAGAGGGAATTAAAGGAAGAATTAGTAATGCGTATAAAAGTGAATAAAAGGAATCCAACGACGTTGGATTTAGGGTTGATCATCCGTCTCATCGCGGACAGTTATTGGCAAAAGCATGCGCGTTCAAAAAACTGCAAAATTATAGGTTTTTATGGAGTCAATTGAAACATTTATCTTCAAGAGTCAAGTCCGAAAATGATCTCGATCGCGTTTAAAATTTGTTTGAAATAAACAGTTAATATTTTTTATGTGCTTCCTTTCCAGATCAATTCAATTGAAGATTCAATTTTTATTTTCTTTTTGTTTCGTGGTGTCTAATTCCAATGATTTTGTTTAAATTTATTTTGAAAATGTAAGAAGTATTCACAGTAAATGTAAGAACATTTATTTAAATTTATTGAACCGCAGTTATGATATTGTCCTTTTTACAGAGAGTTCATTTTCAAGTTCTGAAATTATAGATCAAAAATACACCGTCTTTAGAAGGGATAGACCAGGTAACCAAATGTATGTTTGAAACGTATGCTTGAAACCAGAATGCAATAGTGACCATTATTTGTCTTTTATAATAATCTAGAACCAATACTTCCGAGATTATCGTATGGGGTAACGCCAACATACCACGCCTTCAACGTGAAATTGACCATAAGCGAGGGAGGTTAAACTTTAAACGTGAACCCCTCGCATACCAACTGTATTACTGTATACCTACGTGCTTGGATGCGCATCATCCACCGTTACTGATAAAATGTACCACTGTGCAGAAGAGATGACCTCCATAGTTTAATTGCAATGCATCTGATTTCCATCCCTTGAACTCTGTAGATTGGAAGTCGTTAAATACTATCACTGAACTGGATGAGCCGGTAAGTACATTTTATGGATGGAGTTATGCGTGCCACTGTATAAAAGTAAAGTAGATCAAATAAAGTTACATTATATCCATGCTTAGTCTGGGTGCTTAGATCCAAAAGTGAGATAAGCTTTTTTTAACTCTACTACTACTATTGCTTTAGCTCGAAACTTGCATAATTATTGTTATGGCACCCAAGAGTAAAATCTGTACCCTTTCAGTGCGGGTTAACCACCCCTTCAGGTAATAGCTAATTAATTATGGATTGTTGTGTAAGATGAATTTTAGAAACGTATAAAGAAAACTGATGTCTTTGAAGCTTGGAAACAGTGTCCCGACGACGTAGTGAGCACATTTTCATCCCTCACTCAATGTCGACGAAGCGAGAAAAGTCCTTTTCATCAAGAATAACCGTGAAATATGCAGAATCCCTCCAACTATCGGCACCTTAAAGCAGCTACCTACAAGGACGGTGTCATCTCGGGTAACCTCTTTTTGAAGATTTAAAAAAACATTAAAAATCATAATGTTTATCATTAAGATCCTGTACATACAACACTGAAATCTGATATAGCTTGTTTTAACCTTGTAAGTAACTTGTAGGTAGCATTGCCGAGATTCAAAATCAGTGTAAGTTTTGCAAAAAAGTAGCAGAAGCAAGTCTCTATCTTTGCTAATAGCCAAGAAACTCCAATTTCCACTCAAAATATAGAGATCCTGTACACTTATAAACGCAAATTTTGTAGTAATCAGTCAATAATTATTTGTTGTTTCTGCCACTGCCTCCACCTATACTGACAATTTTTTTACTGCATCTTCTCATGACTGAATTTACCGGTTTTGGGTTTTCTGATTCTTTGCTTGCATTTTTCGCATCCTTACTGTTATCTCGTCAATAGTTTGTTGGTTTCAATTATATAGATATATATAGAGTATATAACGTAATGGAGTACCTACCTCAGGGGTCAAATCTAGGCCTTTTACTTACTTTTACCTAAGGTAGAGAAGTACATAAATCCTTTGTTATTTGCGAATGATTTGAAATTAAGTTATATTGTCAGAAATTTCGAAGACTGCGGAAAATTACAAACCGACCTCGAATCTTCAGAGATCTTGAAGTGATTTTTTGAACGATATTTCAACGTTTGAAGTTCATATACTGAAATGATAATTTAAGATGCGTATGAGAGTTTGCAGTTTGTTGTAAAAACCTTTAAAATGCCTTACTATGCTAGCTATTATTTGGTCACATTATAGAAACAAACTTACTACTACCAATACTACCATTTAATTTATAAGTTATAAATTCAATGCTACTACTATAAGAATTCAAAATCAATGTATACGTTGCTTCCACGCTAAACTTGCAGCGTATAACCCCAGTTTCAAGCGATTTAGGTAATACATTTATTTCGTTTAGAGAGATTAAGTGATCATAGGTAGGTAATTATCCAATTAATTTCCCATATTTACTGCCATTGATTAGATTTAATATCCCTGACCATATAACGAGATGAAATTCCTGCTCTTTGAAGTTCCGCACGCAAGTTCCATTGCGCATAGCAATTCTCAACGTCAACTTACAATAAATTACAGAAATCGAAAAATATCCAAATTGAGTTGTCTCCCACAGTTTACGAAAATCTTATTTACAAATGAAAGTTATATCTATAAATAGCTACTTATTATCATTGAATCCCTTTACGTTTTAATGTACCCAAAATTGTAATTGGAATTTGTTTTCTGTTGAGATAAATGTCTAAATAAATACATTTCGGAGGATTGCTTAGGAGAAAGAGAAATAAATGAACAAACGTTTTCGGAATGTGTACAGCTTGATCATTATTTTTAGATTTGTTCCAATTTCGAAGAGAAATTGAACTAGGATCGGTTCAAATACGCGCGATCGTGATTTTTGTAAGAAAACGTTAAGACTACACTAGTGAAAGTATGGTATACTGTGCTCAAGCTTACTGTCTTGCATCGATCATAAACTTGTTCACATCGTGGGAAGGGTTGGTTAGGAAATTCCATTTGGTTTTTGTCGAAATGTTGTCTGTCAATACCAAAAATGGTTTTTATTAGAAGCTGCGCCAGGCAAGAGTTCATTCTTTCTAAGTAAAGTTACTTGATTTTCACCCTAGAAGGATTCGTAACAAGCGTAGTGAATTAGAACCGATAGATGGCTGGCGGCGCATCTCCTGTAAATTCTGAACTCTTCCTTCTACTTACTTAAAAATTAATGGTAGGAATAGATGGCCTCCACCACCTTATTTCGCCAACAAAGTATAAACTTTAAACAATGAAAGGAAAAATAATGTTGAATTTTGAATTCGTTTGCTCTCACCCACCGCCATTTGTTAGTTGCACCATTGAATTTAAAGTGCCGACGCACACAACAATAAAAAGGTTGCATTATGGAGCAACAAGTAACGTTTATTTTAAAATTGTACAATTTATAATACAGGATAAGTATTTAAAAATAAGTTTTATCTATTATCTATTGGCATACACATACACAACAACATGAAATATAAATGACCAGTGGTGCAATAGGTAGCTAAGCAAACTTAAGTACATTAAATATGCATTGTAAAAAACCAAAATCATTAATTCGGTAACAATTGCACCACTGAGTTACCATATAAACACGTAATGTTAAACAGAATACACCCTGTACACCGATTTATACGCACTAAACTGTTAAAATAAGTATTCAAAAACATGAATTTTAATTAGGTAAATAATTCACCAGAATCACAAAAAATCAATTCTGTTATCCTAAATAACCTCTTAAAATTACATATTGAAGCAGAGCGATCACATGATGTCGAAGCATATCTGTCAACTAATTTGACGGATATGCCGAAATTGTACATAAAAAGGTTTCACTAAAACCTAAACCTGTATAGGGAAGATTTAAGAATTACTAAGCCACAATATGGTTTTAACAAAAAATTCCACACTGCTAGTGTGAGCTATTTGATTTAAGTTCCATCGCCAATTTATATCCTAATTCGGGTCGCCTGTCTCTTCCTTCTACCATGGCTTTAACATGATTTGAATTTACAATGACGCCGTTGTTCTTAATCACTGTAGTTTTTGTTTTTTCAATGTCCAGAAGATCTACCCCCCTACTGCAATCATCCAGTAAAATTGTTCTATAACCAATTGCTAACGCATCTACAGCGGTCGCACCTTTTTAAAAAACCCAACTAAAGATCATGGCATACTTAGGTAATGTAGTTACGTACCAACGCACACATCATACGCTAACCCACAGATATATATGTCGGTGGCGTTTTTTAGCCTCAGTTGACCGCACAAAGTCGTGTCTGTTAATTTTTTATTATCCCAAAATACCGAATAGGAATCAACTTCAGGGTTGGTTCCCTTATACACCTTTATCGCTTTTTCAAGAATCTATAACGAATAAATCTATATAACAGCTTCAATTAAAAAAGGAACCCTACCTTTAGGTCTTGATGTAACTCAGATCCCCAAGTGTCCTGAACACAGTGACGTGGCCAAAGACGCTGCTTCATCGGAGTAGGCCCGGAAAATATAACAGTGTCGTACGTGTTCGCCGTTTCTACTGTTAATGGGCTCGATGGATCTAATTCCCTCATGTGTAAGTTGTCAATGAACGATATATGATCGCTCGGGTGCCAATCCAAGGAATAGAAAACAGCGTCAAAATTAACAGTATCCAGTAGCCTATTTATTGGTTCGATCACTTCGGCACCATTTTGTTGGGCAGAACAATTGCTTATATTTAAAGTACCCGATATAAAATCATTTTGAACGTCTACGATTAGGAAAGCGGAAATTGGACGGACTATCTGTAATTCAATTTTAATTATACAAATTATTATATTATTCACCCACATACCGAGTGGAAATAAAAATGCCATATAGTGACAGATGTGTTTCCTATCGGCATGTTCATGTACAACTTTTGGAACGACACGAAACTGCTCAATTTTATATTGTCGCTATACCATTAGATAACTTATTATAGTATTGTCGAATCTCCTTTTCCCTGTCTGAATAAAACGGCAAGTTTGTGTAATTTTTTATTTATGAAGTTTCGTTTAATTTGATTGTTTAATTTGAATGTTGGCCCATTATTAGATAAATGCAAAATTATTGCTTTTATTGGTATTGTAAGATGATAAAGGTACACGTGTTTTATTCATAGAATTTTCTTATCTTTAGAAATTATGTGTTATGTATTGTTTTTCGTATATATTTGACAAATATCTCCCCCCGGATACGAAGAGAACTAGGAAATCATAGGATCACCAGTTGCAGAAAATATATTGAATCATTGGAATCAAATGATTCCGCGATGCAAGCCACTCGACACATTACCAGACAACGTTCCAACATTTAGGTATAATCATAGATTGTATTTGGTCTATGGTATAATCGACAGCGTACTTAACTACAATATTCAAAGCTTATTTAAGATTGGGATATTTCCCCGAAATGTGGAAACATACGCATCATGGCAACTATCGCCCCATTCGTCTGCTCCGACTCCACTCTGCACCATTTCAAAGTCGCTGGAGAAAGTATTCATAGGCCAAATATGTCGTTAGACTCGAACGATATCATCCCGATATCAGTTCGAATAGACTGTGCTATTCTTCTGTATACCGCCGTTTTAAGGTCATTAATCACTCACGCGTGTCCATTTTGGAGTGGAACTTCCGCTACCAACTTAAGAAAAATACATAATCGTTTTTTTCTCCTTAATATTGTGAGAAAGACAAATGTCATATTGTCTATAATCTATGGATGCACTTCTTGGATCAAAGACTAATTTCGACGATTGAGTAAACACACTTTTATTCAATGTTTCAACTGTGATATACAACTCAAAAATTGTAACATCTTTTCGATTTCGATCGAACTTTTTTGAAGGTAATAAATAGCCTGAGTTGAGAACTGGGAGAAAACACATTTACTGATAGATAAATAACAGTCTCTTGAAAATCCTATACCAAATGCTTATTAGAGTCGCTCGCATACGAGCGTTTGAACGAGTCAAAGCAGAATTACAGTTCGATCGTTATTTACTTCATTAAAGGTTGAAAAATACGCCATATAACAAACATGCTTTGTATACGAAACGTCTATTGAACAAAGAAGCTCTCGAATAGATACCTTTACTAATGGCTCCCGCAATATTGAAAATCATAGTAGGTGTATTCGGTGAGCTATGCAGGAAACAGGATATTAGTTGGTAATGGATATTAGATGGCAACCGAGAGCGATCGCGATCGCATTTCTGCTTTATTTCATCCCAGAAAATAAAACAAAAAAAACTTTTCTACATAGACGCATTATGTGAAACTCAATTTATGATTATGGATAGGTAATTCGATCAATTCAGTGATTGATGTCAGAGTATAGCTCCAAGCAGCATAACAAGGTATAAAAAATGAGGGTATTACAGATACAGATAGTTTATCGCACTAAAAAGAGAAATTCGTTCCTTCAATTAGGAATTCCAGTACCTATGCGAAAATTGAACAAAAGATTACGGTAATCTGAATCTGAATGAAAAATTGAAATTGTATAAATTGTGCACAACTCTTGTGCAGATAAAGCGCATTTTTAAAACCGAAATAGCTTTTGTTTTGACATCACCAATAGATCTATTTCTTGCAAACGTCTCAATAGCTCTTTGTGAGTACCCTCTTTCGACAATCCGTTCTTAAGGTATAAGGAAATATACGCGATCACGATATGAGGTCGAGGAGGAGGGCTATGGTTGGTAGAAATTAATTCCTTTCGTTGAGACGTTTCATTAGAGTATCATGAAGGATAAAACTAGTTATAGTTTGTACAAACCAATTTATTTCGATGAGACCTTTCATTAGAATACCATGAAGGGTAGAACATGTGTCCTCCCCTCCCCATTTTCTAAAGTTTAACTTGGCACCACTAAAGGCCACCACTGAGACCAATTGGTTGTCGTATTTAAAGTTATGCACGTTTTACTTTCAAAAACAGAATCTCAGGATATAATTCGTGGGGGAGGGGGGTGGGAGGCCCTTTTAGACAGCAAAATTTTATGGCCGTCAAGGTATAGGCTCCCTACTGCAAAAAATTCGAGGATTCTAGGACCATTCCCCTAGAAGTAGTTCGAAACGGCAGAAGTGGGCCCAGACGGACGGACGGACAAAACGCAAACAATAGCACACTTTTTTTAATTCTTAAAAAATTCGCTAAAATATCCATCGAACAAGGGATTCCCCGTATACAGCCAACATTACTCCAAGAATAATTTATGGAGGTTTTCCATTTCATTTCATTTATTGTGCTAAGTAATTACATAGTAATTTTTGCACTCGTCTTACAACTTCCTTATTTTGTAAGGAATTATATAAGCGCCCGATATTCTATTTTATTCATTTCGAAACAACGTACGACGGCACAAACTGACTAAGATATTAAAATTAATAATGTTGCAATTGTTCTGTAAATTGTCACACAAGTTACCAAGGCATATATGATTAAAAGTGAAAAAGTGCCTTGAAATTCAAAACCAGTCCGGTAATATAAACACAACACGTCGTAAAACGTTTCTGAGTGACCCAAGCCATGAGGCTGGAAGACGATGAGACACGTGCCATTAAACATCAACAAAGAAACAATTCGTTAAACTCTGAAGGATGATTTGAGCAACACAAAGTCCCTACATAAACTGACCGAAGAGAAGCAATTAGCTCCTGTAATCAGCAGCAGCATGCATTTTCCAAGGAATAGTAGCGCAGTTGGATAAATTTCTTTTTTTTAATTTATTATCAGTGAATTGTTGCTGATTTTTTGCACATTGGCACCAGCGCCACCTTGTGATTTTGGGTAATAGAATAGTGTTGGGTAACTCTCCTAAGCAATAGAGAGTTGTCTATTAATAGAAATTGAGAGTTTAACCTGTTTTAAGCGCACCCCTACAACGATACAAATCCAATTTATCACAAAATGCACCTTAAGGAGACACATTATACCCAAAATTTTCCGACAAGACAAAACTGTAAATTTTGAAGACTAGGACTATATAAACAATTGCTATAAAGTCCATGAGCGCATTCTCAGTCCTTTAATATATTATCTATACTATGGAACGATCTTGGCAGAGACGAGAGGTAAAATGAAATAAACTACTTGATAAACTAATCAAGTATTCGTGAGCTTCAACTTTCACGTTAACGTAAATAACAAGCATGAATTTGAGATAAGATCGATATCGTCTGTAACACGTCAAATGCCAATAAAACAAATACAATTTTATAGTCCCTCCCACAACTATTATAGATTTCAATTTTCAGGAAAACAAAAAAGGAATAAATCGTTCACCTCTCATCAGTCTACGTGGTAGTCATACTATATTGGTCCACGCACTAAAAGTGAGGAATTGAAAAAAAAACAGTTCGACGTATGGTAAAAAAATTAGGAACACCCTTTTCTAGTAATAAAGCTTACTTCCTTAAATAAGTAATTAATTAATAATGTTTAAAAAGTAGTGGAATTCCATATCTCCCAAATCGGTCTCTGGCTACCAGATCGCAGATTCTTAGACAAAACGGTCCATCGTAAAATAAACACTTTAGCTTGGCCTCCAGGAATTTGCAATGAGGCTCAAGAGGTAACATAAACCCTTCAACCTTCAAAAATTCAGCTCTGACTGTTTATTCCAACTCCCCTAAAGCATTCAAAAATGTTCAGCAAAAAAAAATTGTTATTCGACTATAATGGGGGGAGGGGGGGGGGGGCAATATTTTGGGGTCCTCTTCAATTTTTTTCTCAGCAACCGTAGCACATAGAAGGTTCGATCTATAGCCGTTACTTAGATTTTTTTGTATGCCCTTTTCAATTTTGAAAGTACTTCCAAGATTCCTGCCGCCAGATAGCACAACCCCAAAAGGAAGCGCTAATAAAGACCTGATGGCAACGAAATTTGGTGCCTGGGGCCTGGGTGTCAAACTTAGTTTTTGAAAATGTAATGAGTTCCGATTTTTTCAGACTGTATATTTTTTTGCTATTTTTACGGAGGTTTTACCCAGTGAGTGTTTTCTTTTTTCCATTACGCTCTTGATAACGTCCGTATTTAAGGTTTGGATTTAGAGAGTATAGGCAACTGGTGATGCACATGTAATTCAATGGGGCGTGCATTGCCTCTGAACTTCATTCACCATTCCATAAGCAAGGGGTGTATATGATCGGAAAAATATGTATTAGGTAGATAGATGTACAGAGGATAGTTTCCATACAATATAAACTGATATTTTGTCCACTAATATATGTTTAAAAAATCCAGAAAACATGCGTCAAAAGAGATCATAGGTTAGGAATTAATTGCAAAAATTAGGGAGCATTTTAAGCAATACGAGTGTATGGGATCGGTAGCGTGAATAGTTATCTATATTTTGGCCATTCATGTGAAGAAAATGGGCATGTAAACTGGAGAAATGGAAATAAACTACGCAGCTGTGACTAATATCGAGGTCAACAGTTAGCTTCTTTCTCACAGAGGGTGCCACCAAGAGTTTTATGAAGTCAGTAAAAAATACGATAAAGATATGAAATAGGTAAGCGCTTTTATCTTGCGATGGAGTTGTTCTTACTTTTTAACTAGGCTAGTACTAGTACTGTGTAATGGGGATAATAAAAGACCAAAAATTTACGAGCAAAAAAAAACTAGCAGGCTATGTAAGTTGCCTATGCTAAATCATATAGCGATTCTCTTTCAAGGTTGAACAGAGCGTGCGAGAATTTGCTGACAGCAAGAAAAAGATCGTTCACTGGTATATTTTTATTTTGTCAACTA